CCAGGGCGCTCCCAAAAACCTCCCCAGGAGAAACCCCAAGCCCCTCCTAAACCACAGCACCCCTGCCGGCCTGAATCTGGCTCATTCATTCAGCTGTGGGTACCAGGCGTCTCTGGTTTAGCCAGGCCGGGCACTGGGCGCTGGGACAAAGAGAGGCTCAGATAGGTCTTGTTGGTGAGCGGCACCCAGTGCAGGGTGGTTATGGACCCATAATTACAGCATTCAGGAGGCAACGAATGGGGGCGCACTATGCACGCCCCCACCCTACAGCAGTACAGCAGCCCCCCAGCCAGCCCTCGCTGGAGCACACTTTGGCCATTGATCCTGTTGGAGGAACTCCTAGGCATCCTTCAAAACCCAGTCCCCACGTCTCCAACTCTGGGAACCCCAGGAAAGAACACTTGGCATGCGCTTCCTGCAAGCAGTCCTCAGTTCCTCTTCCAGTTGGGTCCTTCCGAGGGGAAGAGAGTTCTCCCTGGGAACTCCAGACCAGGCAGAGACCCCCGAAGACCTCTGTGGGATGAATTTCAACATGGGTCTTCCTAAGCCAGCCTGGCTGCTCTCCCACCAAGTCACCTTCGTGGCGTCTGGAGGCACGGGGGCTGAACACTCAGTGAGGGTCGCCTTGCACTGATTGTCTTAAGCTAAATTTAGAATGGCAGGAATGCTCCACTGCCTGGTATCTACACCAGAACACTGAAGACATCTTGCCCAAGGAGGAAAATGCCCAAGGGTCTCAGCAGGCCACCGGCAGCGACAGCATACCAGTCAGACTAGGGGACAGTTCCTCAGAGGACAGGGCACTGAGCTCCACATGTGGCGGGGGCACTGATGACATGGACTGGGCGTGGCCTGGAGGCAAAGGACTGGGCTCCAAGACCTCTGGATGTCCCCCCATCCCCACTGCAGCCTTCGTGCCACCGAGGCCTGCTCTGACAGTCAGACAGCTGTCAGGGCTGTGTGTAAAAATATATCCATGCGCACACAAGACGAACGCCTGCACAGCGGTGTATACACTGCGTCAGCGCCAGGGCTGCCTCTGGTGTGGCCAGGGGTGGAGGGACCCCTACTTTCCGCTGCCCCTGTGCCGTGAGTGCCTCACCACCAGAGCGTATTCTTGCCACGACTGTTACTTAAGTCACAACTTTTTGAAAAAGAGTCTGTACGCTGAACGGGTTCGTCGGTCTTTTCCGGAACACTGGAGCTGCCTATTCAGCTGGGGGGGGGGGGCGCAACCCCACCGTGCACCCTGCCCTTCACTTGCCTGAGGGGCTCAAAGCTGTCAAAGCGGCCGGGGAAGCAAGTGAATGTGGAGGCTCAAGCCCTCCCTCACGCCGCAGCAGAACTCTGCAACCAGTCCCGCCCGGGGCAAGTCCACCAGCTGTCCCGGGACCCCCAGTCTGAGG